CACAGATCCATCGCACCCGCCAACAAAACCACATCCACCACTATATCCAACAACCGCCAACCTCACCAACACTGCCCACATCATCGCTGTAAACATGAGCACTGCCGCCCACATCATCACAAACAACAGTGGTTCTTGCATCATTGCCGACAGTGAACCATACAGCAGCACTGCACATTGCTCTAAGAGCAATGTCGCTGCGACGGTGTAGCAAGCACCGCCAGAGGCGTCATGATCCTAACATGACGATGCTCTAGTGGAATCAAAACAACCGATCTGGAAGAGGAACTAGAAACAGCGATGCCTGGAGCGAAAGCAATTTACTGCATAAAAGTGGTCAATGTAGCGAGAGCACCGATCGATCCAAAGAAATCACCAGTCGTCGGCGAGAAGATGGAGAGAGAAGAGACGGAGAGAAAACGGAGGGAAAAGAGACGAAGAGAGAAGAGGTGGAAAATTCTAGGGTTTGTCAATTTCGAATGAAATTGATTAGGGTTTGAGATGAAATTGTATAATTAATATTTAATATTTAAAAATAAAATATCTAATTTTTGAAAAGTGAAACCTTATATCTGAAATTTGAAATTAAATCTTGAAAACTCTTATTTTGTTTAATTTTCTCTTTGTATATAATGGGTCTTGGGTTATGATTTTGGATTTCATGTTTGGGCTTCATTATATGGATTGTTGGCCTTTATATTAATGGTTTAGTGTTTCGGGCCTGATTTGGGGCTTAATTTATTAAGTGTTAACAGTTGGGTATTTGTTTTGAGTTGTGATAGTTTTTGTTAGGCAGTGGGTTAGCTTTCTTTTTGTGGAAATTAAACCATGGTAGAAGATTAAAGATCGCAATTCTTAAATCATTCTTAAATCAAGTATGAAGTTTAATCAAGCAAAAATTAGGAAATCAATCAAAATTACTATATCTCATCTCTCACTCCCATATATACACTCACACACACATTTTCTCTCTACTATTCTAACTACCCATTCTATTTCTCTTCTCATCGGTCATTGGGTCTCTCTTCATTCGTGGGAGATTATGTGGTGCTCTGATTCAACGAAGCTCAATTGCTATTGCATGCGTCGGCTCAATGCTTTTCGACGATTGAGCGCTTGTCGTTATGAAAGAGTGCTTTTCGACAGTAGATCTGACTACTATAAGATGGCGCCACCAATTCAGATTTCTATTTCGAAATTTAATCTTTTCGTCTATAGTTGTGGTTGCATATAACCGGCCTTAGTTCGATGTGTTGATGGTTGTTAATTTCTATAACCAAATCTCTTAAATATGTGACCTATTAGAGTGCAAGAGTCACATGTCAAAAATGCATAAATCACAAATTCAACAGATTTGGTTACATGCCATTAGATCATGTCCCATGTCACAGATCCAAAAAATTTGTTCACTTGCCATTAGATTAAGTCATGGTCACATGTAACAAGGCACATGTCAAAGTGCATAGGCCACAGGTCACGGACCCAAGAGATTTGTTCACGAGCCATTGAATCAGGTCATAGGTCACATGTCAAGTTTTGCATAGGTCACACGGATTTAAGAGATTTGGTCACGGACCAATGGCTCAGGTTACATGTTACAAATTTAAGAGATTTGGTCACATGCCATTGATTTCTCTAACCTCAATTATCCGAATGGGCCAAAAAATCAATTAACCAGATTTTATACACAATGAGTTATTTTCAATTTTTAATTATGCTTGCTGAGTTGGGAATGATGAAGATGACCAGTCGTCGACGTTCATTCATCGCTGAAGAAGTCGTCGACAAGGTGGATGTCAGTAAGTGAATGCTGGTAGAGGGTGGATGTCGATGGTAGGGTACGGTATGGTTGGGGTGTTTAATTTTATAATATTATTATTTAAAATTAAAACAAGAACTTGCCTTTTGAATTTTGAAATTTACTATCTAGAAATTTCTTTGTTGCATATTTAATAGCTGAATATGATTTTTTCCCCTTTGTTTTGAATTAATTTAGATTGTTATGTGATGGGCAGTGTATGTGAATTATAGAGTTAACATTTGGGCTGAGTTATGTTATGTGGGTATTGGGTTGTTGATTGGATAATGGATCTGAATCTAGTTTTGGTGGATGGGTTTTGGAGTTTTGGGCTAGGGCTTGTTTGGGTTTAATAATGAGATTATAAGTATGATAAACTGAAATTGTCCAGCAACGTAGGGAATTGTGGGCTTCTTAATTTGAATTTGTACAGACGCTGTTGAAAAAAAAAAAAAACCTTTTTGGTTAAAGAGGAGAGAGAGACATGGGAGTGAGATCCTTGAGTTTTTGGTTGCTCGGATGATAAGCTAGAGTTTTGGATTCTAAGAGGAGGATCATCTTTATTAGTTTTTTATTTTTATTTTTATTTTATTATTATTTTTTTTGTAGGTTGTTCTATAGGATTTCTTCCAACTTCAACATCTTGGCCAGAGATACATTATTAGATTTTTGGTCGGTGCATTGGTTGTTAGAATTTTTGTCGAAACACGAATTATATGTTTGATAGAGTTTTCCTGATTGATAGAGCTCACTATGTATGGTCGGTATACTTCGTGAATTTTTTTTAAAAAATTATCCTTGGAGTGTGAGCTCTCTAGAGTGGCTTTGGGGTGTTCTTGGAGTGCTTCTTGGCTGTTTCTACACTATATGTTGTTCCATGTCTCTCGTCATCACTGTTTTTCGTAGATAGCTGCTATGATTTGAGTCACTTTTTCGTGGGTATAGCATTATCACCATTGTCAATTCATGATTGCAAATTGATACTTTTACCGGTATCAATTTGAGATGGGTTATCAATGAGATTGAATAAGATTATGGAGATCATCGAAAATTACGACTTGACGTCTGTATTACCATTATAATTGTACCATATACAGATAGATTATTTTTACCATATTTAGTTGTGATTTTGTCTCTCACATTGACTATATTTGACAAAGTAATATTTTTTGTAATATTGATTTCTCATTTAATATACAAAATAAAACTGATCTAATATATTTAATAAAAACAAGAATTAAAAGATTGTACAATTTAAATATTTGATATCAGTTAGTATAGTGTAAATGTAAAGAGTATTATTATACAAAATCAGAGGAAATGCTACTAAATCAAGCAATATAAAACATTTAATGAATTTTTCTAGCTTTGTTTAATTATACTGAAAAAATTATTGCTGATTCATTAGTTATCTATCAATAGTATTTCTAAAAATAAAAAGAAAAAAACCCTTATACAGTACGATTTATAATGAGAAGTTTTTAACTAAAATAGTTTCATCTAAAAGCATGTTTGGGAATTAATTATAAATAATTTAAATTATAAATAGAAAGAAATAAGTGGTGGATAAGTAGATAAGATAATACTTGTTGATCTCTTGAAATGTCTGAATAAAAAGTAACTTAAATATTTATATAAGATCTATAAACATGAGCCAAATATAGTCTAATTAAAATTATGAAAAGGGTATATATTAAAAAATACTCCATCCGTTCCACACAAAAAAAGGCTTGATTTCCTTATTTGTTTGTTCCACATCATAGTCATATTTTCTATTTGAAAGTGTAGTTGATTTATTAGTTTTTTAATATGTTCCTCCTTAATGTGATTTGTTATCACAAATATAAATCACTAATTACGTATTAAGCAATATTCGATTGGTCGGTTTGAGGTTATCAACAAAAAAAAAAAAAAAAAAATTATCTAACCCACTATGTAATAAGTTCGAAATTATGGAGCATTTTATTTTTTACAATTTTGTTTTTGTTCATTCTTATCATCATCATATCCTTGGTTTTTAGTTTATCATCAAGTTACTTTGTATTTGTACATAGTGTTCATACGAGTCAGCTAGAAGAAGAAGAAGAAGAAGAAGAAGAGCGTGTGTACATTCTAAGTCATTCTCTTCACCCCAAATTTGATTTTCAACACGAACTCAACACAATTGAACCTAAAAATCTGTCCAACCCAATCGATTTGGATTGAGCTGGTTGGTTTGACCCATTTTAGATTGATTTTTGTCCGGTCCTAGTATTTAGAGTAACAAAAAACAGATTCATCATCATATATTAGCATCATCCTCTTAGACCATAAGTTAAAAACCAAAAGACCATCCTCATTCCATTAGGGAATGTTCTTTTTGTGTTTCAATTTTG